TCTCGAGTTAGCAAGTTTCCCGCCAAAACTTTGGCAAGGCTGCACGTGGCCTGAAAACATATCTGGAAGTTTCGAATCTTTAAGTTGTACGTGGGAACATCACTTTAAAATTTCAGTCTCCAAACTTTCCTGGTTTCCGCATTAGCCATTTTCTCCTCAAAAAATTTCGCGACGCCATACGCGAGAACCATGCATTCTAGAGGCTGAATTTGATAACTTTAATTTGTACATAGGCTGGGAACATCTCCTTAAAATATCAGCCTCCCAGCTTTCCTTTCCCGAGCTAGCCATTTTCCCGTTAAAAACTTTCACGGGGCTGTACGTGAGAACCATATACCCCTGGGGGCTGGATATGATGACTTTAGTTTGAACATGAGTTGAAAACATCACTTTAAAATTTCAGCCTTCTAGCTTTCCTGGTACCCAATTTAGCGATTTCAGCGCCAGGAACCCTTATGAGACCGCACGCGGGAACAAAGCACCCCTGAAGGCTGAATCTGAAATCTCTGAGTTCTACGAGGGGGAGGGGGGGAGGGTAGGAGGAAATAACCACAAAATTTCAGCCTTCTAGCTTTTCTCGTTCCCGAGTTAGCAATTTTTCCGCCAAAATTTTCGCCCTTTCGTGCACGGGGCCTAGATTCTGGGGTTGCTCATGGACGGGAACACACTAGCAAAGCTTTGGCGTTGGAACTTGCTCGGTTGCCGAGTTGAAATACCCGGAGAGATGAACACACACACAAACAAACAGACACACACAGACAGGGTAGTTGCAATAAGCGTTTTTGTAAACTGCATATAAGCAAAAACGCATAAAAATCCAAATATGTAATGAGTTCATTTACATTTTGGGAGGGGATGAGGGCGGTTGTTTGCTGCAAAATGCACTCGTTTCTGAGTCTGGAATAAAGCTGAGTATTTCTCACAATCACTTGCAGGGAATTTCACCTCATAGCAAAATTAAGACTATGCGTGAAATTAGGATATCTCAGCTAAGTTTTAGCATCACCCTTTATCCGGTAAGCCAAATAACCGCTTCGCCATAAATATCTTTGGAGTGCCCTAAGTCATGGCCCAAGTACAAATCGGCACTCATTTTAGGTATACGATTTCCCATATGGACGACAAATATGCTGACAAAATTGGAGCCACTGTTTTCCAGCAAGTTTTCGAGTTCGCACAGTACCAACTTACAAATTTTGACGTGTTCGCACGCATGCTCAAACTTGAGCGACAGCTGGATTTAAAACCCTGAGCTTACCACGCAGAGAGAATATGCCTGCTAAGTTTCAGCTTTGTAGCTTGCCTGTTCACGAAAGGCACGCCTGGGCAAAAATTTTAAAACTGAAATATTGGGTATGTTTTCACACGGGGTAGGAAAACATACCCAATATTTCAGTCTCCCACTTTTCCTGGTTGCTGGGGTGACAAAGTTCACCTGCTTCCGAACACCCACACACAGACGTCCTTTCTACAATATGCGCTTTTGCTGGCTGTAGCAGCGTATAGCGTTACACAGCAAAAACGCGCAAAAAAATACGATCCTGTAAAGTTTTTGTCGATATTATTTCGAAAAAAAATTTTTCACTTTCTCCAAAAAATACCTGGTTTTTTTTCATTTTCTCGACATCTCTTGCTTTGTTATTAATCAAATCTTACACTGGTGTGGGCAACCTTTGGCGGCACGCGAGCGTGATTTACATACTCTATCAAAGTCCAGGTAATAAATCAACAGACTCGTACGACCGTGCGTTTTTGCGCCAAATTTGACAGCCGGATCATTAACAGTATGAATGGCTTGCTTTACAGTTCTACATGTGCTGAGTTTTGACTGTGTTTTGGCCTCTTCTTGAATGCTAGGGAAAGGATGTCAGGTGGAACGGTAGTGTTGCTTTACGATCCTCTCCGTTACTGAGTTGAAAGTGGGTGACAAATTTCATTCGCTTCTGAATACACACATATAAAGTTCGGGCAGTGTTTACGACTGAGACATGAAACTCTTTCTCGCACAAGTTGCTTAGCTTTATCTGCCTTTTTTATCCGTTTAATTCACCTTTATTCACTTTAAACTGCATCTGCCATCATTTCAAATTTGTTTCAATTCCAACCGGTGACAGTATTTTCTCAGCTTGAATTTAAGTAATTTTAATCATATTAAAACGCCATTCCTTAGTAATGTAGGGAATCATGTAGTGGTTAAATACGGGCGTGCAGTTCAGGGTGTAAAAGCCCTAACAATTGCATCCGCCGTATAAATGCATCTCTCAAAACAAATTTTAATGTCGTTTTCGGCAATGCTTTTCTTTTCTCACAGCTGTAGTGATATTGATTGAGGTGTTACTAAAGACACATGAGGGCTCCTGGACTTGAAGTACAAGCACCAACTTGCGAAATCGGATGAAAATCTCTGTACATCCATTTTATTTTGATCTTCATTTCTGTTTACTTCGCAGCAGGGCCGTTCTGAAAGAAACGGTCGATTTGCAAAAAACCCCGTTGCTTAGTCTATTGATATCAATAAATGCCATACTTCATAAGTAAGATGGACGAGGCGTTTTGTTGAGAACTCTCGCATAGCTCCACGCAGTCAGACTTAAGTGAATCCACCGTTTCACTGCAACTTCTCACTATAATTATTCAATTTTGCAATAGTGCCACCAAAGTATCTACGTCACAATTCCTTATCTGTCAATTCTGGTCTGATTGGTCTACTCGGAGACTGAAATGAAATCGCACTTTGCAAAATTTTCTTGAATTTATCTGTCTCTATAAGTTGTGCGCATGTATCTCCTGAAAATTTTTGGTCAATTCAAATTTAGGTTTCCAAAGTCTCTGTGCAGTAGCGAATGGAACATTGAACAAATTTTGAGTCCAGATGAACAGTTGTGCTTGCTATGCTTCGGATCGTGCTTCTGGCAGTGATAAGCTGGCAGGCAGATGGTAATCAGCTTGTGATCTTTGTTGCCAGACATGCAGGCAAGCAGATTGGACGTATCCCGCGCGCTGTTTCTCTGCTTACTTCTGGTACACGTGAAGGATGTTATGATGCTGAACAGGTGAAAATTGGTGCTTGAAAATTTAAATCATATGAACCCGAATGAAAAGGAAAATTTACAAATCTTGCTGTCGGTAAAAATTTGATCACAAGAGTGTGCGATACTCTCGGCACAGATTGAAAATTTAAGTAATTTTCTTTGGGTAATTTTCTTTCTTAGGTAATTAGTGAGCTAGAATTTTGAGTACATTAGCACAAAAACTGCATGTCGAAAGAGAAAAATACAGGTAGAAGAAGCAGCAGAAGTGAATTTTCCACGTCAATATCGAAATATTCAAAGGCCTTGGATCTATCCCGGCTCATCTGCCAAACTATACACAAGTCAAAATCTGCAGTACACTTGGCTGTGGATCAAATCACTCGGCATCAGAGGTTTGAATGAAATAACAGTGAGTTTCGATTTTTTCTTTAAATCGGCTATTTCCAAAAATTTTCGCCACATACGTGTCCTTTTCGAAATTCTTGTATCGTTTTGGGCTAGTGTGAAAATTGCAAAAGGTTAATGAAAAAAAAAGAGATTCAAGCACTTTGAAAAAAAATGTGCTTCGAGTACATCAAAAAAAGTAATGTTCGAGTAATGCTTGCTTTAGAAAATTAGGAAGCGATTTAGTTCATCGTCCTTATCGTAGTGGATTCCAGGGCACAGGCAAATAATAATGATTCTGGTCATCGTCGGCTTGCTTAACAATCTATCGGCAGCTTTCGTAATAGAAGTCTTTTGGCAAAAAATGTTCACAGGCAAGTAGAATATGTAAAAATCGTAAAAATGAAGGAAATGTTTTAAAAAAAAAAGTCCTTCAATTTACCAGTCAACGAAATGGAAAGAAAATGAGCCCGGATTTGTCTGAAGATTAACGTACAACAGGTTGATGATGTTCTGACAAAGCTCGAAGCTAGTGGATGCCTGTTTATGCCTTGGGGTTCTACGGTCCTTCGCGTTCTTCTTGATGCAAAGCCGCTGGAGCTGAGTGGAGGCATAAGCTGCACCATGGAACAGGTTTTTATTTTTACTGGCGTTCTTACCCGCTCCTTTAGCGGTTTGCACATGAAAAATAGCGTGTTTTTGTGTACACATATTTTCGTATGTATGTGAGTGTTTTTATGCACGCATATTGTGCATCTATTTTCGTATTCTTCGTATGTGTGTTGTTTGTTTGTTTGTGTGTGTGTGCATTTATGTCACTTTGAACTAATATGAACTAAGAAGATCGCCAGGACTGCAAAAGCTCCTGATGCTTTGCCGAGGACGCTTCATGAGCTACACTTCCGGAAAATTGGAAAATGCCTTCGAAGATCGTCCCAAACATCAAGGACTCTGGTAAAATTCGGACTTTACTTATTTTTAGGCTCGAGAAATATGCGTGCACAACTTTGGCTTGC